TCCTACTGTTCTATAACTTGTGATGCAACACTGAAATTTCCCCACCTTGGGACGAATAAAGGATCTCTTGATATTAATATTTAAAAAAAAAAATCAACAACTTGATCTCAGTTATCTGTTTGTCTTTTTTAACAAGTTTTATTAAAAACAACACACCTGGCATATTTCAATTCTGAATGTGTAAACCAAAGGAATTCATTGGAGTGGAGGATAAACACTCATGCTGTCTATCCTTCTGACCCCTAAAGGGACTTTAAAAATTACTTTATCTTCTTTAGCGCCTCACACTGTTACTAATTTGTGTGCAGGTCTCAATTAGGTCAGTATTAAAGGGGATAAAAAAAATACTTTTCTTCTCTAGAACAGACTGTTCTAGAGATTGTTGAATAATATGTCAAATGTGCTCCTATTTTCTGCTGATGGCCGAAGAATAAAAGAATGAATTAATATGGTTTTACATGTGAATCCACATTACATGTCTGCTTGATTCACCAACCATCTTTATTGTGAATACATGAATAAATAAATAAACAGCTGTATCCAGTCACATATCCATGGAAGGCGGGATTAATTATACATTTCTTCACTGGCAGTTTGATTTTTTACTGTTATTAGTTTTACTAGTGCATTGCTATTTGCCAGTCGTCCCTGTGTCTGTTTGACAAACTCCAAACACTGGACTCTCTGCCAGGTCCAAGGCAGGGGACGAGACGACTGTTGTTGTGACTTTGGCCGATACAAAAATAAATTGGGCTCAAACTATGCTATAGAAGAAACGAGTCAAATGGCGTCTCCTCAAAGAACAACTAAACACCAAATCAAGTTTTTTAAACTCATAAACTGCATAATTATATTTCTTATAGTGCTCTGTACATATCCTGGTCATTCTTCTGTGCAAAATAGATAAATCTCACTTTTGAGACTAAAAGTAAGCAGTCGCCAGTAGTGCATGCCAGACCTATTGTACATGTTTTTAGTGGTAGGGAAACCTATGCAGACACGGGAAGAACATGCAAACTCCACTCAGAAAGGCCCTGTTTTGACCGGGATTCGGACCCAGGACCTTATTGCTAAGAAGCGAGTGTTATCCACTTAGCCACCGTGGCGCACTCTCTACTTTTTTGGTGGCACTCCCTTTGAATTTGGTGCCCGGCCTCTCTGGAGTGATGGTTGACGGTGATCAGTTGGTATGTGTGACGTGCATCTCTCTGCGCCAGTAGTTTAAAACCATCCAAGTCTCACAGATGACCCAGCAGTGAGTTGAGTATCCTGGTTTGAGTATCTAATGGATAAAAATTAGATTACATCAGTTGACCGCCACTACTGCTGAGATAATTCTGTGGCTTAGGTTCAGGTGTGTAGTTCCACTATTATCTTAGTGTGTAAACTATTGTTTAAAGCTGCAATGAAGCTGTCAATCACAGCCCAGACCACGCCCAACTCTAAGCCCCACTTCAAGTCATCTGGTCCTCCGGGCAACGTCCTTTTTAGACAATATTTTCAAATGTTCATGTGGGCGGAGTAAGGCTGGGCAAAGGTGTTGGAATCACCTTGTGCCAAATAGCCCCGCCCCTTTGAGGAAGTGTCAGTGAAACGAGCTCCGCTCCTCAAGCCCCGGTGATCCAAGATGGCGCCCTATTAAAAAAAATTGCTTTTTTTTAGTATCACATGGGACTTCACGGGGACAGAAAGATTAGCGGAACTCGCCCATATTTGGGCATCGTCTTGTCCTCCCGGTTCTGCGCAGTGGATTATCTCCCATGATGCGTTGCGCCAGATACGCATGTGTGGCTCTCATGCACGTGCACAGAGGGGCTCAGCCGCGCTTTGACCAATCAGAGCTACTCATTAGAGCAGCAGCAGAGCGGAGTCAGAGCGGGAAGGAAAAGAGCAGGTTTTGTGGCACTAAAGTGTGGGTTTAAAGAAAACCGAAGGATTTAAGAAGAAAAAAAAGTTCAGGATGACAAGGGACACTAAAATCCCCACAAAACCCGACCTTTATGAAAGCTGTAGGTTCTGTAGGTTCTCTGTCAGCTGAGGTCAAGCTGTTTTAGTTTACATTGAGTTCTGTGGGACTTTTTTCTGGGTAGCCCACATGTCTTTAGTCTGTAGTACCACGGGTGCCCCCTGTGCCCATACTGTAGGTGGGACAGATAAAAGCTAGTAATACCCTATCCAGTTATTATTATAGATCCATGCTGCTCTTTCACTGACAAATTTGCTGCAAAAAAAAAAAAATCCTACAGAAAAAATCATGTGCAAGGCAGGTGAATCATCCACATATTCACACAGATTCAGAAAAGAATATTGGCTGAGGAAGTAAAACCAAGCAGACTTTGTATTTTTGTTTTCCTGTTTGTATACACCTGCAGGTCTGAAATAAATGAATAAATGAAATGAAGTAAAACGGGGAGGGGCAAGGTGCTGGTAGTCAGAGGACAGAGGGGAGATCAATGGTGACCTTTATATATGAGGATATAGATTACTCAAGAAAGCATGACAGAGTTGTTTTCGACTCTTATAGAGTCAATTTGACTCCGTCGTAGATATGTATAGGTCCCACCCTACAGAGAGTAGATTGTACTCTGCTCCAAGAGCACATTTTTCAGAGTTAAATTTACTCCATATGGAGTTATAAACTCACAAACATTAACTCCACAATGAGTGAATACAAATTAACTCTGTATGAAAAACAACTCTTTCAGAGTCATCTGAAATCTTAATAGAGTCAGCTTAGTTTACCTCCATTCAGAGTTAATTCCCAAACTTACTTGTTCTTATCTAACCTTTATACAAAGTTTGAGGACAGACGGGTAAATTACAAAATATTTATTGCAACATATTTTGTTCACACTTGTATCAATGTAAAAACATTCAACTTTTGTTTTTGTAAACTACAAAATAGTCAGCATAAACATAAAAACTCATTTTTATACTGAAGACTTTTTTTCCCCTGACCATAACTTTACAGAAGATGACAGTATGGAACAATAAACCTTTTGTTGTCCTCCATGTTGTGTGCCATTTGTAAGTCAAATGGTTTGGGATAGGCAAGAACAGAGACATCAATAACACTATGCAACTCTTCTCTCGGTACAGACACAATGAAAGCATACACATGTTCATCAAAACAAACTGTTTCTAACTTTGTAACTATTAAGAAGACATTGTCATCCTTCACCACAATATCTTTGATTTTTTCAAAAATGGGCATGTCATTTAACACTGCACTACATATCACCAAGTTGGTTCGAAACTCAGTTCCGTTGTATTTGGCCCATTTCACAGACCAGACAGTTTTCGTAAAGGACAAGCTTAGAGTACAAGACAACTGTTCCTTGGCAGGAAAAGAAGAAACTGATTTCTTTTTACCTGGGCCAACAATCAACCTCTCCTTAGGAAATCTCTGCCAATGATAAGCCATGTAGTTCTGATGCTTCTTTGCTAAACTCCAAGTTAAGTTTTTGAAACATTTCTTCTGCTGTTTAAAATATTTGTGCTTACCCTCATACCGCATACACCATACATGAATTAATGGACCTATGTTTTGTATGCAGCGGGGATAATGAATCATTGTGTGGTGCTTTGGTAACAGATTTTTTCCAGGAAACAACCGTTTGAAAAGCTGATGGTACTCCACAATCAGATACTTCAAGTAGACAGTCATGCCGTTGGTCAAATATGGGGCAAAGACTATGTTGACAATCTGGAGCAGTAAAAGTAATAGATTCCAGTGCTCATCATTTCTCTCAACAACATCACCTAACATTAGAGGAATGTTACGGAGCAGACACCAGGCCTGAATGGCATTAAGGCCCAAGTCATTGCTTGCATTCTCCAGTTTTAGAGCAGATGGTTGATTCCTTCGTTCTACATATCCATAATTGAAAGACTGAATTCTATCACTTATCTCTTTAAAAGAGATAGACTGCTCAGCAATATACTGAAGAGTGAGCTTTACCTCAAACTGTGCGACGCCTTCCAAAATGTCATGCATAACATCGACTGCAAAATTATCAACTATGTGGAAGTATTGGAGAGAGTTGAGTAAACACTCACTTTTCACACCATATACATGAGACAGATCAGGGGAGGCTTTTATGAGCTGACAATGATCAGAATGCAACTCTTTAGTTCTTAAACGCATGTTTGGGTGGTCTTCAGTAAATACTTTCTGATAGTCTTCTCTCTCCGTTAGGCAAAAACGACAGCAATATTTGGCACTAAAGGACTCCACATAGCCAAACAAACCATGTAGTCCAAGATTGTCACCTGTGACTTGAAAAATGCTCCCATTAATGCGCCCACCAAGTCCAGGTACATCAATTCCATCTACTTCCAAAATCTTAAGATCATTTACTCAAGAATGGTTGCAAAACCATATTTTTTAATATCCTGAGTATGAAAAAGCATACATAAATGGATATTGGCAAGGCATGAATTGTATCTTGGTGGGAAGTTCCTTAAGGTAAAGTAAATTGCACCAAGTTTGTGTGAGCCTTTTTTAGACCCCAAAGGATTACATGGCTCAAAATCATCATAAAACAATTGTAACTGAAGAGATGGAGTGTCCTTGGAAAACAGGGGATTTTTCTTAAAATAGGTCCCATCCCTTAAATCTGAATATAGATTTGACCTTGATTGAACTGACGTAAACATGTTAATGGCACTAGACTGTTTTAGAACTGATTGAAGTGTAAGTAAAACTGGAATGTAAGCCAATGTATCAGTAACAAGGATTTGATCAAATGTGCCAGTGTTTTTGTTCCATCTGTTGTCAAACCTGGAACCAATGGCTTTCTTTACAGGAGCGACTACGCCCCATTTCTTAGAAAAATATTTGCGTCGCTTCTCCACAGAATTCAATTGTGTAAATGGATTGGAAATATAACCCAGTGTTTTTTTAACTTCCTGAACTGTTTTTACATCACTTAAACCACTTAAAACAGTTTCCTTTATCTGATCCTGTATTCCGTTAACAACTTCCTCCAAAGAGCAAACTAGGTTATGCAAATTTTCTTGACCAACCCCGACAGACTGAAGCTCTGCCACAACAGAAGCACACATACTGTGAACATACTCTCCACTTTTTGAACTGGTGTGTGAAACAAGTAGATCGGGTTGCACAACAGGTGCTTCCACATTAACATCTACTATCAAATCATTACTTCCATAGCAATGGTTAATATCTGAAATGTCAACATTGAGAACACTGTGCTCATGCACCCTTTTCATATGTTTACGAAATCCAGAAAAAGTTCCAGAAGTGTGTGCACACCCGGCTTCACCGCATTTTAGTCTCAGTGTCCTTCCAGGGCATAGTCCATGCATCAACTTCAGATGTCTTACCAACACATTTGTGTTAGAATGGCGTGACTTGCAAATAAAACAAATCATGTCCATACAATGAAAATAAAATCAATCAATCAATCAAAAAGTCTTTCAAGGCTACTGCAGAAATCTTGATCGGAGCTCAATGACACGAGGATTTTCTCTGACGAGTCCAACATCAATATTGAAAACGGTGGTCTGTATGAACGTGTACATGTTTCGGAGGGACTCACTGAACTCTGTGCCAAAGACAAAATGGGCTTTGAATAGCTCATCAAAGGCCCCAAGTGAAGTTGTTGCTCGGCAGGGTATGGCAATTTTGTCTATGACGATGAAAAACCCATGGAGGTTGGTTCTGGATGTTCCAATAGCAAGAAGGTACGGCTGACAGGTCTGGACAATGGCATCTAAATGTCCCTGAACACTGTTCCCAGTCTGTGGGAGAAGAAAAAAAGTAAACAAAACAATTGTACATATGGGACTGAGGTTGTACAAAAGACACGTGTTGCACCCGTTATGTATGTTATTGTTAAATGATTACTAGTCCCTTGTACCCAGAATTTCACTGGGAAGTGTGTGTGCACCCCGTTTGAAATAAAATTTAAATGTAAACGTTATCCCCGTGGAGTATTGTGTCCCCAGTTTTCCTAGTTTATTTTACTATGCACAGCATGTGTTGACCTCAATACGAATATGGATCGAATAAGTTTGTGATGTGCCCATAATAAATATAACTGGATCAAACACTTCCTTAGAAAGTGACTACAAACCTTTAGAAACCTCACAAGGTGTTCTATTGCATGTGTAGCTGATAATCTCCCGGGCTTTCTCCGGCCTTGGGAAGTAGGGGGGAGCAAATAGACCAGCAGCAACAGCGAGGACAAGTCACTGTCCCAATCTTTTTGAAGGGAAAAACATAGCAAAAAAGAGCAAACTTAATTGGCTTATCCTCTTCAAATTGCGCCAATCAAAATATTTACAAACACACTGCAGAGACATCTAATCCTGCACCGTGCGTGTCCCTCATGAGATTGTAACTAAGTGCTAAAGCATGTCATTATTCAGTTAAGTTGGCTTCAGTGTTTTAGTAGATAACACTGAAGCCAAATGTCCAGCTCTTAAATTGGACAAAAACATATGAAACTGTATATACTTCTACTTTGTAATGTTAAACAACAATATTACATACCCTCTATATCACCATTTTCTGACTGAGGTGACTCTGCTGTGCGGATGAGTTCTTTGAGTTCAATGCTGATATGTGACAGGGTTTTACTCTGCTCAATAGTCTTTTCCTTGAACATTGTTGGCCACCGTTCAAGAAGTTTTGCTGAAGTCTCTTCTCCAAACAGCAGAGCAAAGTCTTGTTCAATCTGGGGATGGGTGACAAATGTTTCAACTTTATAAAACGCAGAAATTCATAACTAGCATAAGTTAAAAGTTATATAACTAGTCATTACACATAAAACTTCAGAATCAGGGTAAATTGAGAATTTGACTTACCAGGCCCTTAACATCAGCAAAACGAGTAAATGTTGACAGCACAGCAGGTGACTGGTGAGAGTCATGGACCATTTTCTGGCGATGAACAAATGTTTGCTTCATTTTGAGTCGGACCACCTCTTCATCAGTTGCATGCCTCATGAGAGATATTGCTTCCTTTAGCTGTTCTTCATTAAGCTCTGGCTCTGTCACATCTCGTTCAGAGGCTGGTCCTCCCTTACATCTTTTGTTCTGTGCCAGAGTTGGCTGATCCTCTGAGGCTCTCTTTTGAATTGTCTTGATGCGCCAGGCAAGGTATCCAGTTCCACTGTCAGAGTCATAGAAATGTTCCTAGACAGCAATATAAAGAATTTACTAAAACATTATTGAAATTAATGTTTGATAAATGGGTGTTTGTGGCTGGGTAGGAATTCAGGGTTAAGTACAAAAATATACTCACATAACCCTTTTCAGAAAAGGGGTCCTTTAATTGTGGGAAGACCGATACTATTCCCTTTGCATACCGTTCCTTCACAGTTCTTGATGGCGATGTGCTAAAAGCATAAAAACATACCATTAACATGGACTTCTTTCTTGCAATACAGCCTGCAGAGGAGAGGTGTGTGAGGAGGAAAAGGTGTGTGAGGAGGAGAGGTGTGTGCGCGCGGAGGAGAGGTGTGTGCGCGCGGAGGAGGAGTGGTGTGTGCGTGCAGAGGAGAGGTGTGTGAGGAGGAAAAGGTGTGTGAGGAGGAGAGGTGTGTGAGGAGTTATGTGCGCATGGAGGAGAGGTTGTGTGCGCGCGGAGGAGGAGAGGTGCTGTGCGTGCAGAGGAGAGGTGGTGAGGAGGGAAAGGTTGTGTGAGGAGGAGGTGTGTGAGGAGGTGTTAAAAGCCGTGAGAGAGGTATGTTGAGAGGAGAGAGGTGTGTTTGCGCTGAGGAGGAGCAAGACAAAGGTACGTATGCCCTACTTTAGTGCATAAAACGCCTTGTTGTGGTCAGTGTGTGGAGGAGGTCAGAGAGTGTAGAAGAGGAGGAGGTCAGTGTGTGGAGGATGATTTAATTGGGGACCCCTGCCCTACACCATATTAAGTTTCACTTTGGAGGACAGTGTTTCAATGTTAAATAAATTATTACCCATGGATTTCAGTCATGTTGGCAATAACCATATTGACCATTTTCCTTCGAGAAGCATCTGTTAGTTTTATTTGTCCTTCGATATTCCTTATGATCAGGTCTCCTCCTGGCCTCTTTTTCAGAATGTCCTCTATGACCTTCAAAAGAAACATAAACACGAGTCATGCATGTATTCTTGAGTTCCGTCAACTCTGACAGTGGGTGTCCGTTATTTGTTTGTTTAGACTTATATTGAACTCTATTGAACTACAAGGGAAATTGTATTGTCACAGTAGCTTAGCATACTAATTCACAATATAAAATAAAAAGAACGCAACAATCGAAAAATAAGAATAATAATGAGATAAATAATGTGAGAATAGAATAATCTGGTACTTAGGAATATACTTATCAGTGAAATATGTTTACACATTACCTGTATAAAATAGGGAAATAGGACAGTACACATCTGTTAATATAACTATATACAAGACAAAGCAGATGTATCTGTCACAGAGCGGTGACTACAGCAGGATGGAGTGGCCTGTGCTCTTGTACCGCTCACTGTGTGGCAGCTGTAAGAATGTTTGAGAAGGAGCTCATTTGCTCCTCTATAGTCCGATGGAGTGGATGTGTTGAATCGTCCATGATGGAGAGCAGTTTTTTCCAGTGACCTTCTGTCTCTCACTATACAAATGACTCACCATAACTTGATTGGCTCGTGAAAATCAGTTTGTCAGGGCAGCAAAAGTTGAAGTTTAGCTACAAGGACATTATCTTTGAAAGAAATACTTACAGAATCTTTATTTCTGGAACTTGACTGAGTCTGCAGAGGGCTTTCAATGTTCAAAATCACAGCATCACAATCATCAATATCCAGGATGGAACTTTCTCGGCTCGTCTGCATCACCTCAGCATCAAGTTTCTGCATTAGGAATTAGAATCAGATTAATTCATAGTCCATCAATGGCAAATTTATTTGGGCTGGCAGTGCAACCTGTACCTATGGAGTTTGATCACTGATCTACACTGATTAGAGGTGGGGGAAATTTCCAATTAAATGTCACTCTACACACACCTAACATCTTTGTAACTAACATAGTGCAACACTAAAAGCAGCAAAAAGCACCCTGAGCTGTACACTAAAATACAAATGTTCATGCATTTCCATTCCAATGGATATTTTCATAAAAGTTATAAAAAAGATTTTAATTACTTTAACTCTGGAAATGTGGAAAAAGTACATCAATGTACATATATTAAAAATGCATCAATAATAGTTTTAAAATCGAATCGCAGCCTCTGAATCGTAATCAAATCATGAGGTGCCCCAAGATTCCCTCCCCTATTAAGCCTGGGTGTATAGTCTGACGCAGAGCTTACAGTGGTGACATGCGTATCATGTGGTTGGTTGTGGGATTACAACATTCTTTTCAAAACTCTGCAAGGGGACCTACGCAAGTGTACCACCAACTGTGGCTGCGTTGGTCCAAGTGACCCGGCAACCAGCGCCGCATGGTGGTACACAGGCCTTTACTGATGTACTCTTCATTGGGACCTACCTTCCGGTGTGCTGTCCAATGACAGTTCATAAACATGGCCAATGTTTTGACAGCATCAAAAAAAACCTCTTCAAAAAACATCTTCATCTATTTTAGTTTTTGTTTCATCAAAAAGTTTGGCATCAGATAAGCAGTTGAGTAGGAATTCCAAACTTCTTGAAAGCTGTAAAAAACAAGTATATTTTGGATTACTAGGACAATTTGCTGTTCATGTAGAAAAAGAGGCTTACAATAAACAACAAACAACTTCCCGAGATGGAAAGCAAAAGCAACTGCAATATCTGTTGTACCCCCTCTTGTTTTCATAACCATGCATAATGATCTCATGGAGTGTAACAATTTACCTTCATCAAATAGATCCACAAGCTTGACTTCCTATTTTTTGACAAATCTCTTGCTCCCCTTATGTTTCACGTTGCCAGCATTTTTCCTGTGACACACAAAACACATGAATATACACTTGAGACACTCAAATTCGCTGATTTTTTAGGCCTCTAACAGAGGCATGCAAGAGTGCCAAATAAATCAAATGTGAGCGTCAGAGGGGGGGACTTCCTCCCCCTGAGAATTTATGGGGCTAAACATATTGCAATAAAAATACACGCCCATTGTGGCTTAGAATAACTGAGATAAATACACGGCATAACCTTTCTTACAGCACAAACACATCAGCGCGGGCTAGCTGTGGCGGGTTGTGTTTGCGTGGGTTAGCTGTGTTACTGACCTAGGTGTGTTGTGTTGTGTTAGGGCTGGCTAGCTGTGTTAGCGACGGGCTAGCGTATTAGGGCGGGTTGGCTGTATTTGCACGGTCTGCTTTGTTAGCGCGGGCTAGCCGTGTTAGGCCAAGGATAGCACTGATAGCGCGGGGATCGCTGTGGGATATGGGTCACAAATAGGGTCTGCTTAAACGTAACCGTAAAGCAGGAATTGTACGTAGGATGTAAGGTATTGTCAAACATAAAAACTCTTGTCAACGAAAAAACTGTAGCGTAACGTAAAGCAGGATTTGTAATCGTAGGTGTAGTATTGTAAACATTAAAAATATATTGTAAATGAAAAAATTAAAACTTACATTTCGGTTCTGATTTTTCATGTTGCTTCAAATGTTACGTTTACACGATTCACAAGCTACGGCTTACGAGTCAAAAACTTCCGGTTACGATCACATTTTTCATCTGACCCTTTTTGGAGGGGGCGGGGTCAGCGCGCCCATTGGCTGGAGACACGGATGTCACAACAGCAAAACATCCGCACGTTGCTACAATCTTTACAGTCTGTTCCTACAGAAGACGAAGAACAGGCTTCAGGCCATCTACGGCGACCGGCGTACATAATTGCTAAGAGCACCACTTCTATCGCTGGTAAGTGTCTGTGTTCCTAACAGAAGCTATAATGGAAAAAGTCCAACTCCAACCCATAAGTGATCACTTGGTTACATCCTGCGCTATAAGAGAGAAACCGCTGTGACCTGTTTATTCATGATCCAGTCAAGTTAAAGCAGTCCTCACTTTATAGCGCCGCTATAACAAACAGCTGACGTTGCTTAAATGCTACACATAAGGCTGTTTGCTAAAGACGGTACGCTAGGGAGGTCCTACGTTTAGTCTGCGGAGAAACAGTCTTCACATACCAAATAAACAGTTGTTCATCAAGTTGAGCCTGCGTAGCTTCTCGTCACACACAATACTGATATGGAGAGTGGACTGACGAGCCCACCAATCATTTAGCGCTAAAATCACACAACTAGTCTTTTTCCCATTACGCCAAGACCAACTGGAGAACAACAGTATTCAACGGTATACCACTCAAAAGTAGTAAACTACATCGTAATGTGGCTTTTTCCCTTTATCACGGAGAACTGTGGCCTGCCTCTGAGGAGGGGATGCTGAGTGAATGCATGGATAGACGTGACGGTGGATGTGTTTTATTTTGTGCCGAGCTACTAGTACCTGTCATTCAGTGGTCCTCCTTGTGTCTGCTCCTTCTTCAGACAGCGCAGAACATAAAAATACTGCAGATTTACACTAATAAAGGGGTTAATGGGTGTGCACAGGTTAAGACTGTATTGACCATTAAAGCACGTTACCCTGTCCATACCCTGCCTACAGGAACAGTTCGGGTACGGCTGTACCCAAGTCTTTGTAGACGTACACCCCAGGATCATACGGCTTAGACTTACTGCCCACTCTCTGACTGGGAGCACTCATCAGCCTCAAAAACAAAGAACTCAGTCCCAGCGTGGAGTATATTCAATGTCCAACATAATTGTATGTTTCTTTATCGATCTATAAGCTATGTTTTTTTTGTTTTTAATAATTTGTTTTTGCCTTACAACCAAGTAAAAAAAAGGTATTTACAAAACAGTTTCAAAAAGCATCATGGAGAGAGGGCGAGGTGTGGTTCTTCTGTTAGTGATTGGGTTGTCACGAACCGAGAGTTTTGAGGGTGGATATTGAGAAGCATCTCTTCATGGTGAAAGGCGGGCAGGAGGGACCAAGAGCTGGAGAGGATAGGAGGAGCAGCAGGGGCAGGAGGGACAGAGCTGGAGAGGATAGGAGGTGCAGAGGGGCAGGAGGGACCAAGGAGCTGGAGAGGATCGGAGGCGCCGAGGGGCAGGAGGGACAAGAGCTGGGTGGATCGGAGGAGCAGAGGGAGGAGGGACCCAGCGTGGAGAGGATAGGGGAGCAGAGGGGCAGAGGGACCAGAGCTGGAGCGGATAGGAGGGCAGCGGGCAGGAGGGACCAAGAGCTGGAGGGATGAGGAGGAGCAGAGGGGCAGGCGGGACCACGAGTGGAGAGGATAGAGGAGCGTGAGGGAGCGGGAGGGTGGAGATCTGGAGGAGGCTCGTCATGTTATAACACTGTCTGTCTGGATGAGGAAGTTATAGGATATTTAGCCAGGATACAGACAGCAATTTACTCCTATCTACAACCCCACTGTTCTGTGAGAATAAGTGCTATTATATGTGTATTTGATAGGCACAGAACTAAAAGTATTGATACAGGTCGGCCAATACCATGTTCATAGGCTGTATAGCTAGCACTTAATTAGCAGACCTGGTCCCTAAGACATGAAAATACATCACATTTATATAGATTTATTATAAAACCACAGTTATAACATCTTGTGGTCTGCAATGTGTGGTGCTGGTGCCCATCGCAGAGATAAACCTGCAAGAACAGCACTAAACAGAGTTTCTGTGTGATTTTAGGAATCATTAACCATCCTAAATTAGGCAAAAACAGTACCGGGACCAGCTAGCCAAATATCGTTAAAAATTAAAGGCCTTAACAGGTTAGCCCCGATTTGAGCTACTTAAGACTTTAAGTTAATTTTGATTAAGATATCATGAAGCCAATGGAACGTACGATTTAGCAAGTTTCACAGATTTGTTTAATCATTCAGCTAGTTACCCTCATTTGTTTCAAAACTTTATGTACAGCGTTATGGGACTGACAAGATACATTTGTTAGCTAGCATGGGGTCATTAGGTCTCGCCGCTATAATTATTGGTAAATTAATAAGCAAACAACAAATCAAAGACATAGTTTTATTCACCTTTGATAGCAGTAGATAATCCTGACATGACAAACGCATTCGTGTAGCCCACCGTACAGTGAGTGGTGGAAGGGTCCCGAGGTGTAGCTTAGCTGGCTAGCCTGGGGGCAACATAGGCATGACGTTATCTCGAGAGCATATTTCACACGGCTCCTAAACATGACCTGGTGTAATTAGGGTGTCCACAAGAGATGCACCATACCCACGTGAAAAACCTATAATAGCAGCCCAGTTGAAAAAATGTGATCAATCATACGATGTAGAGTCTCGAACGAGACTTGAATTTTGAATGGTGTGTGTTTTGGTTTTGTGATGACGAAACCATCCGGTGTCTCCAGCCACTGGGCGCGCCTGAGCCCGCCCCTCCAAAAAGGGGTAGAGAAAAATGTATCGTAACCGTAAAGTTTTGGGGGGACTCGTAAGCGTAGCTTGTGAATCGTTAAACGTAACTTTTGAAAAGCGGATACAATGAAAAATCAGACCGTAAATGTAAGTTTTAATTTTTTTCATTTACAATATATTTTTAATGTTTACAATTACTACAACCTACGATTACAATTTCCTGCTTTAGGTACGCTACAGTTTTTTCGTTTACAATATTTTTTTTATGTGTTACAATACTACAACCTACGTTTAACAATTCCTGCTTTACGGTTACGTTTAAGCAGACCCTATTTTGACGCCATAGTGGGACTGCATATAGCGCGGTATAACCGTGGTTAACCAGATTAATGCGAGCGTAACGAATATCACCTGAGCCAAACTGAGACTTCCATTATCAGTAAAATAAGGCATTTCCTCACCTCCCGTTACTAACCGTCCGCTCACGTTTAAAACGGCGTAGCCTAGACCTTGCTAACAGGCTAGCAGGCAGTTACATGTGGTGCTGGTGACACATTTTGATATATTGAGGGAATTTTAACAAATCTAACTACATTACCACACATATTCTGTTTGGAATGACAATGGCTAGATACAGCTAAAAGCACAAACAGGCTAACGTTAAGCTTACACTGGTGGACCTGTAGTCAGTTAAGTCAATTCAGACTGAGGTTATATCAACCAGCTAAGGACAATGTAAGACAATATTATGATATTTCAACTCAGACACACACTCACCTTGAGCGTTCTCCTCAAAAATGGTGGGTTCCAGGTCTACTTTCCCGCTTTCATCTGATGGTTCGCCATGTTGGGGCTTCCCGCGCATGAGGTGTAGAAGGAACCAAACCGTAATGGGAGGGGTGTGTGAATGTAAAGCAGGAGCCAAAAGGACTGCCTGCTTTTTTTGTCTAAAAAGAGTTGATTAGCCTCAACATGTCAGTTTATGGCCTCAGTCTGGTTAAAGCAGGTATAGGCACAGAGAAAAAATTAAACGTTTTAAGGATAGCAAATTCTGTAATATACGATGGTGCAGTCTGAAATAGGGTGTGTATGGAATTGACTCTTTTATATTTTTACTCTGTTTTTTAACTAGGAAGGTAGAGTTCCATTTCACTCCAGTCGGAGCATCTGTCACTCTGATAGAGTAACTCATTTTTTTACTCTGACATTTCGACTCCGGTCATTTTACTGTGTATAACATGCCCAAAATCCTTAACAGTCACTCTTTAGGTTAGGTCCAGATTTAAATGAATCACTAATCTTTAAAGAATGGACCTGCTTCTCTCCTCCCCGTCACGAGTAGTCATCTTGACGAGAAGTTACAGGAAATTCAGTCAACAGTTTTGAGATTAAATTAGAGAAAGTGAATCAGGGCCTGAAGCCGGCTTTGGCGACAGTCCCGGTGCCACCAGAGCTGTCAAGTCCAATCGTGGCGCATAGAGACGCCGTCTGGCACCGGAGCGGGGGAAGTAAGGGTTCTATAGTGAGAGCACATACATTGCCCCATTGTGATTCCACACATCTGCTGTTTCTGTTTTCATACATAAGCCAACCGCACCGGAAGAGATTTTTCAAGTAGTGGGGGTGGTGTGAAACGTGGACTCTATATTACCACAGCAACTTATAGTTGCTTTAGAACTTGGTTTTTGCAGTTTAACTCAAAAAACTACTAACTATGTCTTACAATTTTGAGGTCTAAACTTTCAAACCCCATAAATCTTACTCTGTACTCAAACTAATTCCCCGTCACTAAAAAAAGTTAGATTCTCTTGCTGTTTTTTAGACGAGGTATCAAAAACTGTTTTCCTTCATGATTGCACAGTGACAAATGTTTCCAGCACATTTTTTATTCTTTTTTTCTCGTACTGTAACTTGTTTTATTCCAGCACTTTTGACCTTGTTTTATTTATGTACTTGTCTGGTGCACACTGGGGACTTTTGTGAAAGTATTCCAATGTAGTGTGAAATGGCAAAAACAAAGCTGAATCGGAATTTTTGGTCTCTGTCACATCTTTTAGATCAGCCTCAAGTGAAGAAGAGCAGACCAACCTCTTTTAGCAAAGCAGTTCTCAGCCAAGAGCAACACGTACGGACTCGCAGGACTCCTTCCTACACTACTGTAGTGTCTGCTATTATAACTTCTACATATACAGCATGTATCTTCAAAATGTGTTGGGAACATTTGGGTCAAAACTGGTAGAAGCAGCTGCCTCTAATGATCCTTTTCCCTCAGTCATTAGGCAGACATGTGAGCAGCATGATGTCTAGGACAATGTAACCTGGGCTGTCCTTAAAGTATGGTTTGCTTTTACGGATCTTGTGACTGTGTCTAATGCCTTCTTCAACAACTATAAGATTCTAGGTCCTCTGTGTGTTCGGGGTCAGTCATGCCATCATCCATTCTCGGAGCTGACCCAGGCTGAACACGCGCTACGCCTGAATTGGACTTGATGTATTCTGATTATGCCATTAAACTCCTTCTTTAATACATAACCTCAGAGTGCATTCCTTCTCCCACACCCTATACTGGTTTGTGCGGGAAACCCCCATCTTCTGCCTGATGAGAAGATACAACACTTAACATATGCAAACGATAACATGTTGTGGTCAGATTATGTTCACCAAATGTTCCACATATACAAGACTGCTTGCTGTTAGGACACACGGTATAATTGAAGAAAAATAATATTTGGGTGCCTTAGTATTATACTAAACTTACAAGTGTGTTTACCAGGGCTGCAAAATGAACGCAGTGTATGTTTTAAGAGTTGTTTTTTGTTCAGCCAGCATACTGTTTACTATAAAGACACGATACAAGAACCAAATTATGTTAATTCATATAAGGTTACAATGCAATTCAGGGAGAAAATGTATAATAAAAAAATAGTCAACTACTATTCACAACCTAATTTACAACCCATTTAATAGCAGGTATCCACTTTTCTGGATTTACAAACTGGCTATCTGTTATGGAACATTGGCAACAGTACAGGCCAAAGTGAAAAAAATATTATAACAAAAATGATTGTTTCCTGACAATTTAATTCCCTTCAATTATCCTCATTCATCGAGTAAAAATTGGTTGTGTTGTGGTATTGCTTTCTAAAAAAAAAAAAAAAAAGAAAAGCTAATTGCCCATTATGTAATTATTTGGAGTTTCTCGCCAGCTTGTTCAAAATGTCTCTCAGATTTCTTCTTTTCTAAAAAACCTCATTGGACAAGCCAAAAATACTCCAATGCAACAGAAGTTGTTGGTGATGCCCCGCTGATCTCCACACACACTTAAAAGACGGTGCTCGGGGCAATCCAGAGACCGCCCGAGGGGGGAACTTCAAAACCATGGAGTTTTTTTTTTCGAGCATAGACCAATAAAGACGTACACATAAAATAATAAACAATAATAGGAAAAGGCTTTGACAGTTTCTTTGAAGATTGAATTGAGACTGTGAAAAAGCAACATGATAAAAAATTCAATTTCTCCTGCAGTGAATTCCACATGTCAGTCACTCATCACAAACACAAAATCCAGTTGACTAAATACGACATCAGAGAAAAGTTCATCTGAGAAACTTTTAATGCTTTTAAGATGACAATTACTCATTCCAAAGCATCACTGTGATGTATTTACTTGCACAAGGCATTCAATAAAAGTAATAGCTGGAAATAAAAACACAACCAAACGTATTTAAAAATAGTACACCGCCAGCTCCTTTTGGACATTTTATATATTAGTCAAAGTCTAATTGCTTGAAGATATACATCCAACAGATGTGAAATAAAAATATGTTTTTTATGATCCTCAGTTTTATGACTTTGTTTTTGTTGACAAAGATCCAAGACAGTAAAAAGTCAATCTTGTTTCTTTTTTTTTTGCGTTGAACATTTAACTAAACTCAGACGGCACCATCTGTGGAAAGAAGTTGGCTGAGGAATAGATTGAAAATGTCATTATCAGGTCAAATTTAAAGGAAAGAAAAAAACTCAAGATGTTATGGCAACTTATTGCTATTAGTTGAGTGTGTACACTTACAGTAAGCCCTATTCCCACAGGATTAGTATTACCTGTGGAATTTGTGATAATCGCAGAGGACATCTGAGATCTAACACACACGGGAACAATGTCTGTAAATGACTTTATTTTCACTGACATATGGTAATAACGGGCCCGCACCTGGGTGAGTCCAACCGCTTCTCCTGAAAAGAGGCGCTCGTCGCTCGCAGTTTTTATGATGTGTACGAGCAGTCTCATAGTTTGCCGCCAAAAAGGTTCGAGTCGGGAAGGGACATAGATTGGCGGAAGATATTGGCAAAAATCAACGCAGAAAGTAGAGAAGGCGGTGATAGCAATCACAATCCTCGTCATGCAGATTCGCACAGGATTAGTATTATCACAGGATGTCTGTGTTTGGACAAATACACCAGGTACTTTGCTACGGAATTATTACTTTTCAAATTACAGACGTGGCGCATTCACACAGGATCTCGCTTTACACAATTCATATACTGCTCCAATGCTGAAAATCTTGAAATTTTAAAATGATGATTTGTCAGGCATAAGCAGTGCACTACCACAGTTTAATAGTGTGGACTGAAGTGAAGGTAAGAGGCAATATTCCATGTCAAAATGACTGTGCTGCTTTTAAAACTATGTTAAAGTAGCAATATGTAAGATTTTCATGTCAAGTGATCATTGACTGCCAGCCGTTTTTGACGATTTCACTGATTCTCAAGACCCACAGAATATTATGTGCTATGACTATGTGAAATATGTGAAGCAGATTCTGAAACACTGGATTTTCTCCTTTCATCAGCAAAAATACGTTTGGTTTTAGCTATTTTTGTTGTATTGTAATCCTCAGTCGAATAGAGGGAAGTGACAGAAATCACTGGTCTCAGACAAATGGCGTCAATGGCGGTCAATGGCCCTAAACTGTCAAAGGCATTAATAAACCATGCTCTTTTCGAACACTTGTTTGTTCTGATAACACTAGTCCAGCCAAGACAATTAAATAAATATTGTTATTGTTTTCATTTCGATGTCCCGCCCTCCACCGTTTTACCAATCAGAAAAGCCGTGATCTGGGTTTCCAGAACTCACTGCACCAAGCTAATCATACTGCAAGTGGCTGCAGAACTAAAAGAGGTCTCGTTATGACTATTCACCAAAATTATGCCATATTTTTCTGTAAATGGTTATTTGAATCCAAAGATAAATGACAACATAGTGTACATATGTACTGTATTTGTTTATTATAACAATAAATCCACATAAAATGGCATGAACATGATTAACATTCTGTCTCTCTGTAGTAGACTCAGACCAAAACTGCAGCCACGACTGTGTACGGCAGCACACTAAGGCGTTGATCTATAGAAAATTGATAGATTAAAATACATAAGTTCAGGAAGATAGGGAAGACTTCAATTCTTACAAAATCCGAGTGAGAGCTGTAGTTCCCCGTCAGCTGAGAGCAAGCTTTTTTAGTTCACTTGGATATGGGAATATAGGTTGCAGTACTGCGGGGGCCAACCTCCATGCTGGAGAATGGCTTAAGCTCGCAATACCCTATCCAATTAATTTTAGCACACCAATCAGCTTGCAGCTCAAAGTGTGTGGTCGTCATAGGGTATGTCTGTAAAGTACATTTATTAGACAGTATGTAGTTTATAATGTAGGTCTAAAATATTGCTAAGCTGCACTTTCACTTTACTTTTCAGTCCATTATCCCTTTGCAATTTTGTGAAAACCAACCCAAACAGTAATAGCTCTAACAACATGAATCACAGGACAACAAAGCACATTCCGAACGGTCACAGAGATGGTTTCTGCCCAGCAGGAGGCTCCACCGGGGGACGGCTTGAGCCTCAGGCAGAACAAATGCAGCTTTGCAGACTACAGTGGCCCAGCGCCGTGGAGACAGATGGCTGGTAATGGAGTTGAGCTATTTAAAACACTGGTGTGCGCTCGCCAAACTGAGAGCCGCGTGTCCTATTTCTGATTCCTGCTTTTTAGACACAACACTTATTTTCATTGCAGGGATGATGATGGGCCTTTTTATACATATGTGTGTGTGTGTGTGCGTGCGTGTGTGCGTGTGTGTGTGTGTGTATGGCTGGTTGCCGCGCTTCTGATTACAGTTGTAGTTTACAAACATCGTGTATGGAGTGAATGAATAATGACCTGGGATTCCTCGGCCAGAGTCCTGGGTCTAAAGCCGCAGTCATGGGTCTCCTCAGCCCGAGTCCTGGGACTCCTCAGCCCGAGTCCTGGGACTCCTCAGCCCGAGTCTTGGGTCTATAGCCGCAGTCCTGGGTCTACAGCCTCAGTCCTGGGTCTATACAGCCGCAGTCCTGGGTTTCCTCAGCCAGAGTCCTGGGTCTATACAGCCGCAGTCCTGGGTTTCCTCAGCCAGAGTCCTGTGTCTCCTCAGCCTAAGTCCTGGATCTCCTCAGCACGAGTCCTGGTTCTCTTTAGCCCGAGTCCTGGTTCTCTTCAGCCCGAGACCTGGGTCTCATCAGCCCGAGTCCTGGGTCTCATCAGCCCGAGTCCTGGGTCTCATCAGCCCGAGTCCTGGGTCTCATCAGCCCGAGTCCTGGGACACCTCAGCCCGAGTCCTGGGACTCCTCAACCCGAGTCTTGGGTCTGTAGCTACAGTCCTGCGTCTAAAGCCACAGTTCTGTGTCTATACAGCCTCAGTCCTGGGTCTCCTCAGCCCGAGTCCTGGGACTCCTCAGCCAGAGTCCTGGGTCTATAGCCTCAGTCCTGGGTCTTCTGCCACAGTCCTAGGTCTACAACCTCAGTCCTCGGTCTATAGCCGCAGTCCTGTGTCTATAGCCCCAGTCCTGTGTCTATAGCCCCAGTCCTGGGTCTACAGCCGCAGTCCTGGGTCTAAAGCAGCAGTCTTGGGTCTCCTCAGCCAGAGTCTTGGGACCCCTCAGCCCGAGTCCTGGGTTTATAGCCACAGTTTTGGGTCTATAGCTGCAGTCCTGGGTCTCGAGTCTCAGTCCTAGGTCTTGAGTCTTAGTCCTGGGTCTACAGCCTCAGTCCTGGGTCTACAGCCTCAGTCTTGGGTCAACAGCCGCAGTCCTGGGTCTCCTCATCCCGAGTACAGGACATTCGATATGTGTTATGTGTTCGAGATTTATTTAGAAATAGTATCACTTCTTGAGTTTAAAATTAGTTTAAACTAATGGCATGGCTAACCTCTCCTCTGTTTGTGTGTTTGAAATGAGTTTAGAAGCATAACGGACATGCAATCCGGCTGCGTCTCAGATTGCCTGCATGTTCGTCTAAATAAAGTAAAAATATTATGATCTTTACATTTTCAAAAAATATAAGAAATGTATTACATTAGACCCAAGTGTGTGTGTGTGTGTGTGTTTGTGGACTAAAACTATGCAGACAATGACTTAAGTAGGATTTTCTTTTTAATAGCTATTTTCTCTTTTATGTTTTTTGTATTTACAAGCAGCATTTGCTATTTTAAATCATGGTTTTCCATGATTTTCCAAAACAAATATACATTTCATCTTCAGTTTATTTAAAGAAGACATTATACATTGTGTTTGACCATAAAACAAGAGACTAATTTGTCATTTCATGTTTTAGTGAAATATCTTCAATAGTAAATATGGTGAAACAGTAATGCTATATCCTGTAAAACTTCACTGGGGATGGTACAATGACATCATACTATAACAGGACTGAGACGGGAGCTTTTAGACAGAAAGGACGGAGTTCCTGATATCGGTGTGGATGGATCTAACAACTATCCTCTAACGATTAGGATATGATAAAAATGTTGACTTGTCACCTTGAGCCCACAAGTATATTTGCAACAGATATTTCTAAACATAGTCTTTGTACACTTGTTATAAATTCCTTATTCTGGGGCCTACTGTTTGATTCCACTGTTCTGTCCATCCAAGCTAAAGTCAGCCGCAGGGGTCTGTAGTCCTGGCACTGGTCTTACCTCGGGGACCACTGTGGAACTTGGGGTGCATTCTGTGCGTTTCATGGCCTGTTGGTTTGGGTTGGAGTTCTTTATGGCTGTCTCCTGGGCTGTCGTGGTTGACTTGGCTGGCTCCATGAAAGGGTAACCCCGCCGGCCCCCTGAGAACTCGTATATTCTCATGGGACGGCAACAGGAAATTATGTGCAAGGCGATGATGCATTATGATGTGCGGTAACCCCGAGGAGCTGAGCTATCAGTCTCAAATGTGTGCAGGGAGTGGAGGATAATCATGTCTAGGCTCCGGTCCACTCTCTCCGTTTTCACCACTGAATTCAATTTGGCTAGTGTGGTTTTATAATGTTTTTTACAAAATCAAGTTATGCATCACCTCAAGGGATTGCAATAGAGTAGATTTAGCTATTTCCGTTGATAATAATGCATGTGCAGATCAGAATGAAAAGCAGAATGAATTCAGTTTAGTATAGATAGCTGCTCCATCAAAGCCTTGGTTTTTCAGCCGAGGTTTCAGGGAATTGTCTTGTTCATGGAAACAAGGACATTAGACAGTGGGAGTCGGGATTGTGATTTCATCTCCTCTAATTAATGTATACTGTATTACATACAATTTAGATTACACTTTGAGTCAACCATTAACAGCTAACATAATCCAAAATGAATGTGTTTTGTCAAATAATATCAATCTAAAGAAATAGACAAACATTTGTAGTTTAAGGTCCCATAATTCACTCTTCTTTCTTTTTTGACAGTGCATCCTAAGCACATGTGTTATAATATTTTGGGTGATACACTATACAGCACTCAAAAATGCCATTTCTTGCATAGAGGTGAAACGGCTGGATCTGTGCTCCTCTGCCGCTGTGTCCCGCCTCACCCCAACCGCACAGAGACGTAGCCTCGAACTGACTTTAAGGAAAAAAGTCAGCATGAAAGTACAGCTTTGGCTGGTATTGTCATTTCAGACCTGAGGATAAACTTTGTCCAACAATGGCAATTCGTAACAGTGTCCTTTGTCCTCGAATCGGACCAAATGTATTTTGTTAACAGTATAGTATACAATGAGTTAGTAACACATCTATGCTCCTGATTAGCATATTTCATTGTTTGAATAACATAATGTTTCAAGAACAACTTCGTGCCGAATACTGTTATCACATATTTACACCCAAAAACACACTTTCCCCAATAGCAATCTTTCCCCCTCCTGCAGCGCCACATGCAACTCCTCACATGCAGCAATCAGGCACTGCCCGCATCAGCTTCATATAGGGCACTGTCCGGTTTCCGAAATGTGCTAAAAATAGCACAGATGACTGCGCATGCGCGCATGTTTCGGACAAACTCTGTCCGACTCCGTTGAGTACTACTGTGTTCTCCACATACGCGTGTGTATTTACTTGGGCTAAATCATTAAATCATGGTGACAAAAAAACACTGCAGTTATGGTACTTGTGGAAGCGATTTCAGATACTCTGAAAAGGACTATATGAAAGCAGCAACATTCAAACCGTTCGTTAAACCACACCATCGGACCAGACCAGGACCAGACCAGGACCAGACCAGGACAAGTGCAAGAGGTGGGTGCTTGTGGTCGGCAGAATTTCTCTCATGAAAATGTTTTTTCAAAACACTTCGCTGGACCAACTGTGGAGCATTCAGATCCAGTCCTAGCTACGTTTAGCTGGGACTGGACCTGGACCGCTGTATCAGGTCCGTCTGAGCTCTTCTGAATGTAGTTAGCACAAACTTTCTCTTTATGCCATTTACCCCCATCAATCCATATTAGTATTGTTTGTCTTAATCCAGAATGTATACAATTCTCACACCAGAAGAAAGATGAGAGGGATTTTTTCAACTTCGTGACTATCGGAAAATAAGTACAGACGAAGCGCGTCAGGGTCCGCTTATTATACGGCTTTGTACGAACTGAACACACAAAATTAACTTCTGTCACTATTAATGCTGAAAGATTTATTTAATGACTGCAAAGAAAATAGTTCTCAAAGGTTTTCCTGTGGCAGGCGAGTAACAGTGAGGCTGGTTAACCTACTTCAAAAAACCGATCGCTTTAGTCGCATTAAAAAAGTATTTTTTTTGTCATGAAAACCTTAACAGATAATTCTGAAAACCTCCGTGCACGTGTGTTACAAATGTATGTATAATATATTCTCCGATTAACATTTAAATGTGTCGATTGATTGTCATTTGCGTTTACTGAGTGTGGCTAGCTCTGATAGTTTCTCTCAGAGACAGTGGCGTAGCCCGTTGTGACCCCATGGATCTATTATAATATCGGCTGACTGTAGCTAACTAATGATCAAACTAATTACAAAGTGGACAGTGCAAAAAACAACTTGATAAATGGAAGTTAATCACAGCAAAGTAAACAAAGAAGGCGCTAGCATTGCAATTTAAATGACAAGATAATGTTAGCATAATCCTCACCATTACCTTTTTTATCAATTCAAACTTTCTATTAGTTACTGGGAGACCACAACATTCAAGCCAACGTTTTAATTGGTCTACACTATGATCCCTGATGGTTTGATGGTGGAATTGTGCTCCTTGTATATCATTTTCGTCTATAGTGACAAGTGGTTTTTGATTCATTTCAGCAGTGTTTGTCCGAAACATGTGGGCGGGAGTTGACAGGCGGCGGGGGCGTGCCTTAGTGACGTCATTTAGACAGTTCGCTATTGCGCAGAAGCCCCATCTAAGCAGCAGCTTCATTCACGCCACAACCCTCCTCCCCATCTCTGCCTCATTCCAAGCCAGCCCCTAGCTACCACCACCAGTCTAGGCCCTGGGGGAGTTCATCTCATAATCTCTTTCCCCTCTGCTATCGTGCAGTGTCTAAGCACCAAATCTTAACCACATTCTGTACAACACAATAAATGTAATCTCAAAAATATTGTCCTCAGTGTCATGTGTGTAATTCATGTAGTGTCAGATTACTTGCCAATCAATTCTAATACCCATGTTTTGTCTGGTTGAGTCTCTCCAGATTGAACTAATGTAAACTGTATTTGAGAGAAAATATAGTTTTACGACCATACGCACTTAACTGTCTAGGGTGAGGATCTATGAGGTTATTCCTGGGTTTCATGTAACAATTACCCTTCTCAGATTCTGAAACCATAATGTAATAATTTTCATTGCCATAAAATTCAATTATGCACCAGTTTATCTAATGGATTTAGAACTGGTGTGGCATTTATCTCCTCACATTCTTTCTAAGATGTGAATTGATACAGTTATAATATTCAAAACACTGCTCTGCAAGTAACACCAAAACAGGAAGACTTTTTTTTTTACCATAACAGCATCCTTGTATAAAATCAATGTTTTCAGGCAAAAAAAAAGTTTTGCTGATGAACTTTGTGGTAATAGAATATTTTTTTTCTCTGGCATAATAGAATAGTTTTGTTGTGCTGGCATACCAACTTTAAAACCATTTAGAAAACTAGAAGAATGCAATGAAATACTGTATATCGCACCACATCTCAAAACAGTTATATCACAAGTTTTCACCTGCATGTCAAAGCTTCAGAGTAGCTTTTTCACACTGAAAAATAGTGAAATGAAAAAGAGAGGTCCACCCTTGCACAACCAATCAGCTCAAACAATCAACTAGGGACAAACAGGGCTCTTCCTTATTGTCAGGGCAATTAATTTCTTATATATATACAGACATTATCAAATTTCATTATTTGCCTTCAAATGTTTAAGTATTTTATTATAAATCTTAAAATAACACCTTAAAATCATTCATTGTATTAGGATTTTTATTTATGTTTATTTTTGGAAAGGGACAAAAGGTGACAGTAAACATGTGATTTGAGTTGACATTGATGGGGAAACAACTTGGGTGGACATCAAGTGGGAGCCGACCATCAGCTCCCTCGTCAAGAAGGCCCAGCAGAGGATGTACTTCCTGCGGCAGCTCAGGAAAGCCAAGCTGCCTGCACAGATGTTGGTGCAGTTCTATACGGCCATCATCGAGTCCATCCTCACCTCCTCCATCACCGTGTTGTTCGCTGGAGCCACAGTCAGGGACAAACAGAGACTACAGCGCATTGTGCGCTCTGCAGAGGAAGTGATCGGCCGCAGCCTTCCATCGCTGCAGGACCTGTACGTCGCCCGAGCTCGAGGCCGGGCTGGTTGTATCACAGCCGACCCCTCTCACCCTGCACATGGACTATTCCAACCACTCCCCTCAGGCAGGAGGCTGCGGTCCATCAGGACTAGAACCTCCCGCCACAAGAACAGTTTCTTCCCCTCTGCTGTTGGACTCTTGAACACTTCTTAACCTGTCCCCCCGCCCTTTATAAAGTCACTTTACTGCCCATCATACGCCACTTTACTTCACTGTACTGCTGTCACCTTACATTGTGTGCACCATGTGCACTTGTATATTGTAAATAGTAACTGTAACTCTATTTTGAATTTGAATTTATTCCTTAGAAGTGTTTTTATTTTTTATTTTTTATTATCTCTTTCTGACTGTTGCACTGAGCCAAAGCAATTTCCAAGTCTGTGACCTCCTGTTACTTACGTGGCAATAAAAATGATTCTGATTCTAATTCTGATTCTGAAATGACTATATGCCTTGAAGTGCGCAATTTCTTTTAACATGTAAACATTGAAAACATTTTAATCACCCGAGGCACTCATCAGGCATGTTGCTAAGAGGAGAAAAGGAAGCCATGCATTTGAAAAGGTCAGAAATGTATTCAGTGATGTGACGTCAAACAGGTTTAACATCCATCCATTCTCTTCCCCTTTAAACCCACGACCTTCACGCTCAAAGGCCAATGCTCTACCACCTGAGCCACTGTCACCCACATAAATGGGCGACAGAAATGTATTCAGCAATGTGACGTCAAACAGGTTTAACACACAGCACAGAAATCTTATAAAAAGACAGAGGACTACCAAACTCAATAGCAGAAATACATTTAAAAAAAGCAATGGAATTATGTTTGTGGGAAGCTAGGTTGCTGTACAGAAAGTGTCCTAGATTCAAGAGCTCATGAAACAATTTGGCACCTAAAGGGTAAACATTGTAGTTTACAGTTATTTCACACTGTCCATTACATTAGAACAGAGCAATGCACTGGTCCAAAAAGGCTCAGATTCATTCATTTTCAACCCCTTTATTA